TAGTCCTCTCATTGTGTATTACTTAGTAGTATTTCTTCTGTAAGGACGATTTTCCACTGCTTTGATTATTAACTAACCCATAACTTAACCCATAACTTAACTTATTAACTTAACCCATTATACTGATCGCTTAGTATAAGTCTCCGGGGTTTCATTTCTCATTCTTCTCATAACAGTACCACTACCAAATAGTTATGGTTTTGAAATCTGTTGCTGAGATTTATTTGAGACATATGGTAGTATTATAATGCCAGTACTACTGTCGCATTACAGTTTGTGGAATATTCGACAAGATTGAGCCAGTTCCATACCTAGTCTTTTGCAAAATGCTTGCCTACCTGGATAGGTCATTATCAGTTTCTTTCGGTTCTGGCGTCGTCACTAGCTATTTTTACTCCACAAACTGTTTCGCCTGGTTCTTTCCTCACTAATTGTGGCAATTTTACATAAACCTGATTCACTGTGTCTTTCGAAATCTGGTACAGTTTCCGATGATACGTTCTGTTTATTTTACTTCAGAATCTTTCCTTAAGGCTTTGCAAAGTGCAGGAATGTGACTTTGTCTTAGCACAGAAAAATAATCTATTTCGGGTCTCGCAATGCCAACTTGGAAACTGGATAAAGAGGGGAAAATGACTGACATGTATTTGGCACTGCCATTAAGTCAAACGCGACTTTCCTGCTGTTATCCCTAGTCAATCGTATTCTGCCACACTACCACCGGTGAATTGCCATGCGAACCTTCAAAACCAGTCTGGTCGGGTTGATTTAAAAACCTTAGCATACCACATATGGTACTAAATCGTTGCTTGTTAAATAGATTTTGGCCCAAGCGCTCACTGCATTACTCGTGCTGGAGGATCAGACGATGCATATTGCTTTGAACGAGTTTCTCTCTGGTCGTAGGGTAGGTTTGCGTTTTTGTCCCGACATCAGTTCAAAATGTGTCAACATTTTAGACGGCATTGGGTTGCATCCTGAGTGTTAGCGAGGTCTCCAACGGATGGATGAACGTCAGAGTTGACCAGCGTCTGTCCATGGTAGCACGCCTCTTTGCACAAACTGCAGAAGCAGTAACCAGGCTCTTTCGGAATGAGGGTCAAATTGCTACCTTGCTGGAACAGATGCTAAAGTGGTGCCCTCGTGGTTTGTCTTTTGGAATGAGAACCTCAATTTATTGTTTTATTGGTTGAACTATCGAATTGAGCAATTTGTCAGAAGCTAGTTTGTTCAGGTGACATTAAAACTTAGGAATACCTGTATTCACTGCTGACATCCTTAGACTCACATTCAAGCACTTAAGTGTATATTCTCTTTGCATTCTCGTTCGCAGCTGGTTAAGGTAGCCATTCGTTTCATTGTATTTGGCTAATCGAGCGTGAAAGTATGACAAGTAGATGTGATCAGGGCTCCTTAACTGCATTTTTAGTCATGAACGCTAGACACCATACGACAAATAGGCAATCGTTACACTTTGATATACAGATGAGCATCTTTCGAAACGACCTTTTAGGCGCATGTCTCTGAGCATTCATCAACTTGTGCCTTACGTCTAATATATTCCGAGAATAATCTAATGACGGCTTATTATTGTTATCATCTGCCTTTCATTTTGTGCGGCTGTTAGTAGTGACAAGCACGAAGAAGTCTGACTTGAACGGCGATGAATAGTGTTTATTTGGTCAGCATTTTTGGGTCATTTTCTACACTACCAAACCTAGAAACTGCCTGGTTCAGTGGGGAAAATTTGTTCGAGTACCTGCCAGAAAATATCGCCTACTACCACCTAACGCAAGCTCCGGCACAAGCACATCAGCTGAAATCACCGACTTCTGGTCAATCAAAGGAGAAAAATTTCGACACCCAGTCCAGTGGTATTTATGCCCAACCACTATCCATAGAAGATATGAAGGATCCATTTAAAGAGTGGTGGAAATCGTATGTTTTTTTCACGGACCTAAGGATCTTTGAGTTCTATTACCTATAATGAAGAGGCGATTGTTTTCTCCTTTCTATTACTTGTTTGGCTGTAATCCGTTGTATTCTAGTTGGAATAAGTAAAATATGGAAAGCCTTTTCTACTGGTTTTTTTGCTGATGAAATGCATCGAAACACGAAAAATAAAGCACAAGTACAAATTTAAGATACCTAGCCTAAGGGAGGCTTCAAACACCCTGTCCCCCAAGTTACATCAACAAATGGACAAGTGGTTGGTATCGGAATTTTATTTCACAAATTCATCAGTTCTACAAAATCCAAAACTACATAGGAACTATGTGAAATTCATTCACTCATTTTGACCAGAAATTTCCTTTTAAAAATTTTTGAAGTTTTTTGGTAAAATAGCCTTTCATCTGTATCCATTTCGCCACAGAACGGTGAGCTTCAGCCAACAGCAACTCTCTACGGTCCTCTCTTCGCACCTCGCCGATATCACAGACCTCGTAGATACTCGGCACACTTTGCTCTCCATTCTTTCTACCTCTAGTCTTGAGAACAATGTTGGTTCTGCTCCTCACCCTTTGGGGCATTGTGCTGATCTCTGGATTGATCTCTTCCGAACTCCCTTTGTTAATCATCTTGAGGTGGGTTTTGGTAAATAGCCACTCTGACGTCTTTCCATTCCTTTTCTTATATCTTCTTGGTCAATTAATGGCCGGTCAACTTGTTGAGGAATTCATCATTTCTTTATATGACTTTGGGTAACGCGAGAGTAAGATAGTGAAAGAAATGTTTCCAGGTTTCTAGCCAGGTCAAACGATTTCACCTTATTATTCGATTTTCGCTCTCCTTTGCACTAGCATCGCATCACGCATCGAATCAAATTGTCAAATGACTGAAGTCGATTTACTAACTGTTTCATTTCCTTCAATATCATTTACTTCTTTGACACCACTGAGGTAAAACTCCATGATCTTCCGTTGGAAAACTTGCGAATCTTGTTTCACAACCGTAATGATGAAAGCTAGAGAGTTATGAACACGGAATGCTTTTCAATTGAAAATTCATTTTTTTTGTTCCATTAAAGTTCTCGATACTCTCCGTTCGTGGCTCATTGAAATCAAGGAAACTGGGTTTATTTCCATGAAACATTATTTTACCTAAAGCTGATTCTGTTGTATTCATTACAGTCCCTACTGAACTCCACTCTCAATGGGATATTCACAGATTTCGAGTCGGATTTGCTTTCTCTGGCCAGATCACTTGATCAGATGGATGACAAATCTAGCCAAATTTCATCAGATGAAGTGATGACGGTGGGTTTGAAATTCTCGACGGTTTAAAATTTGATCAATTTTGCTTAGTTAGAGGTCTGATTTTGGGATCCAACGGCCACCCACGTTTGAATTTGTTTTCCAAACACCCTCTCATTGCGAAGGTAGGTGTGACTGCTGTCAAGTCAGGAACATTAGTGTGTGATAGGTCTAATTTTTTTTTGCATCGGACGTAGGTTGAAGGTGAATCCGAGAAACTATTGTGAGTACACGATGTATTCCATTTTGACACGATCAACAGACTAATAGTGATAGGGCTTTTGTTAAAGTGTAGAAGGGAAACGTATTTGTGATCCTTCGCTCAACCAATCATTCTTCGCTATGAGAGAACCCTGAGTTTGTAGTAAATTCGAGTAGTCAGCTTCTCTCGTGATCTGAATGATGTGTAGTTGAGTATTCTCACCTGGATTAATCGGTAATCGAGGATGATTATACAAGAAAGTACGAGTTAATCTACTAAAATAGGGGCAGTAGGAAGATAAGCTGTAATTTCATTTTACTCCTTAAGTTTCCACCACTTATCTTTTAGACATGAATAACGTCAATGCACTTCCATCATATCACTAATCGTATAACTGAAAATAGGGTACAATTATTTAATGCCGAAGTATTTACTGGGACCGCTGCTTCTACCTATGTTTGCTAAAGTCAAAAATATGGTTCTTCTCTCAATGTTAAATTTAGCCTTTTGACGCAGAACAAATGTCACCGGATTTGGATTTGGCATCGTTTGTGTGGTCACAGAGTTTCGACTCCATCGGACTGTCGAACCTCTGCCGCAAAGATCAGGTTCAATCTTTGTCATCACTGAACGACTCCGTTGATCAATTGGATATATCTCCAAAGGACTTGGTGATGGCCTACTTTGCCTGTCTTGTGGGTCGGAGGGATCTCCTCCCAAACTCATCGACCACTCCGAAAGCTACCAACCAGCTCCCAGGTCCCCTACGATGGCGGCTGAGCCGTCTATTGGAAAGTACTGCTGCCATCTACGC